TCACTTGGAACCGATACACAAATAAGCTTTCAGTAGGCGTAAATTATAGTATTAATACAGATCGGACAGTAGCGTACTAGAAAATAATGTAGAAACATGACTTATCGAAAAGAAAAAATAAACCTATTGCTTTCGTTTTATAGTTAGTTTTAACATTCACTGTCATCATGGGAATCTCTATTACTGTCACCAACATCAACAATTAGTTCTTCTGTTTGTATGTCTATTACTTGCTCACTGATCCCTATTTTTAAATATTTAATCTACGCCCCTGATAGGAATACTGAAGAAAGAGGGCTGCAATAGTTATACCTAAAACTGCCTTGTGCGTGCTCCTTTTTATCGTTTAAAAAAGTGCTGCAGGTTTAACTGTATTTTTATTTTACAACAGCTTCTACACAAGTAGGGACATAATATTGAAGTAACTAAAATCTTTTTTTTTTGTTTAGATTATGCTCGAGGAGGGGAAAACTTCAAAAGACACCCCCTAAAGGGAGGTAGCGTCGGATTCTTACCGACTAAAACCCCTCCTCGAGCGGGGAACTAAAATCTTACAAGTTTGTTTTTTTATACAAAGTTCATCCCTTATGCGAATGTCGGCCGCTAACACCGACAAAGTAATTTTTAATAGACGGCGCAATATTTGAAAGCGGATGTCGACAAACGCTAAACACACGTGCAATAATATGCACATAATACAGGTAAAACGGTAGGGAATCTACATGGCTACTTTTGCCACCGCGTATGCACGCCATTTTAAAATTTCCGCCAGCTTCCAGCGTCAGGCCTCTACATAATATGATATTCTGAAGGATTTGTTCGAATATTTGAATACTAACAAGGATATCGTTCACATTTATATTTGTTGCAAAACCGTAAATTCTGATTTACTCACAACTCCTTTGGAAAGACATTCTCTAACCTTCTAGAAAATTCTATAACTATTTCGAACCCTGTAGATATGCAGCATTCAGGAAAGGTCTATGACATTCTATAACGTTCTGACCAGAGGTCGGAACTCAATTAACACCTTCACTCACTCTCTATATAGAGTCCATTGGTGATGGTACAGTTTTGTAGCATATCTTGGAAACCATCCCTTGCATCTGAAAACAGAAACCTTCTTTCTAAATGGGAAATGGATAGCTCATCATTCCATACAACCCTCATCATCAGGCTGCTGGATTGAGAAGCTTTAGCACGTACGGGTAAACGAGATGAATGAAATTAGAAAATTAACCCTCAAAATTTAGAAAAACTGAGTAGCATTTAGAAAGACTAAATTTAGATTGAATGTATTAATTCTTGATTCTTAAAGATCGATTATAATAAAATTCCTTTGACCTTTCGATCAAAATAGCATTAAAACAAAATAGCTTATTGTTTGATCATATTATCTTTCTTATTTTCATATTTTCTCAAAAGTTTGAATAATTCGCTGGAAGTTTGAAGTTAATTACGTATTTATATTTTCAAATTTGTCCTATTAACAAGTGATATCCTACTTTCAAGACAAAAGAAAATTTTAATAGTACTGTTTACATTCTATATTATTTCAAACAGTTAAACGGAAAAACTTTGGGCACATTTTTCAAGTGTGCTGACATATATGTAAAATATCAGAACTTGCGCGGAAAGCGCTTTTCCAGAGATCTTGCGTACATGTCGCGACTTTCCGTATCGATTTGATAGGAAAAACTTCACGGCCATCTTGGCGTAGTTGCGTCATAAGTGGTGGCAGCTTAAACCGGTGAAGCTTTAGTATATACAGTTTAATCAAAATGTTCATCCATCGCTGAAGTTCTGTTCGTTTTTTGCTCTTTCATACACGAGAAAGTCGAAGGTAGGTGACAAATATTACTATCCTGCACATACTCTTGTTTTGAAACGAACATCAATATTGAGAAATATGCTTCACGTATGTACGTAGATATACTAAATATATTGTCCTGTTTCTCAAAAATTTTTTTAACAATTACCCTCCCTTTAGGATCGATTTCTAAATTATTATGTAATAATTTTTAATGGAAATTTGAATTTTATCCGCTGCATGTTTCAAACCAAATATTGATTAATTAGTCTTGAAAATCTGATCAGGCAATTCCTTTACTTTGAAAGTATGCATATATAACTACACTAACTGACAAACGTAGGACTTGTATTTCTCTACAAGAATAAGTCATTAAATATTAATTTATAAGCATCTCTAGCCTTGAAATTCTTAAATTTATGAGACTATTTAATTTGCTTTTTAAACTTTCATTTAAACTTCCCTTAATACCAGTCTTAATCCATAGTCCCCTCGAAAATTTGTTTTCTAAAATATAATAGGGTGAAAACCATAAGAATTTAATTATATATATT